GGTGCTGACTTATCGGCGGGATAATGGCTGATTATGACGCGTGGCAGTGAAAGCCGCAAGGAAGCTGTCTCGCCGATGCCGCCTTATCTTTGCACGATAGCCAGCTGTTTGTGACGGTATGTTGTCTACACAAGGTGTAGGCGCCTTGACCCTGAATGTTTGCTTAGGGCATTAAGGTTTTCAGGTAAGTCCCCCCTTCTCTCCCTCTTCTCATTCTTTATTTTATAGGTCTTCATGATTGTATGGCAGCGAAGCATCAGTTCAAATGGCTGATGTACTGCTGTTGGTGATGGTGATGATGAGTTGACGCAAGCTGTCAGCGGTCATGGGTTCAATTCCCTGTAGTGGACCGAAAGAATGCGCACCACTGACGTGCCCCATAGGGCGAAACAATAGTGTGGTGCTTAGGGGTTATACTATTTAGTTTGTGAGCTACTGGAACGAATCATTGCACTTACAGTAAAAGTTCTACTTACTAGAAGACTTGACTTTATTTATTTGTGCTCTAGCCGTCACATTGCATACTTACTGGCGCCCTATCTGCTGCAAAGAGCGGACTTGAGAAGATATAATGAGACCCGCGAGGACCTCGGGCTAAAACTGCGTATTGGCTTGAAGAGGTACCGCGAGGCCTGTTGGTTTCATCTTGCGTCTGAGATGGAACCATTAATGCATTTGGTAACCATCAGAAGTTTTTGCGTCTGATATGGGAACCGTGTGTCTCGAGACTTGACGTTGACGAAACAACGAGTGGATAGCCTATCCACAACCGGTCTAAGTGCTTGGAGCGTTCTCCTGATACATTGAATTACAGTTTAATGGGTGTGAAATGCAAGTTTCCCTTCGGCCATTTGTCACCATGCTTCCTGGTCGGCATTTTTTGGAAGTCGAACAAGAAATCGTGCTGCTGAAATTGTGTAAGGTCGCTTTATCAGTTGGACTTCTTTCAACCCTTCCACATTCGCGGGACCTACTCTTGTGGACAACGTGCACGATCTATTAATAAAGCCTTAAAAGCAGGAGGCTGTCCCAACCGACTGGCGCTGCTGCATTATTTCCCATTTTTCAAGAAGTGCTCACGTTCGCAGTGTGACAACCACAGACGTATCAGCCTGATTTTCATCTGTAGTTTACTTGCGTCTATCCTTCACAGATTGACTGGTGTTTGTAAAATACCGAATCGTGAACACCAGGCCTAGTTTCGTCAAATACTCGGCTGCATTGACCAAATCTTGATTTTGCGTCAGGTATTGGAACACTATCACTTATATTGGTGACAACCATAGTTATGTTTCTCGACATCAATGGTGTCTTTGACTCGGTGAATCAATGTGCCTTCTGGACTGCATGTTTAGGAAGGGTTTGCCTGCGCAGTCTGTACATTGTAGGAGCGTCCTATGCGCATATTTCGGACAGAGTGAAGTCTTATGTCTGGCCTTCGCCACCCTTCAATATTTCTAGCGGTGTGAGACAAGGATGCCCGCTGTCACCTTACCTTTATACTTTCACTATTAACGAGGATATGTAGCCTGTGTTGGCGACGGTGCAGAGTTGCTACTGGGTGATCGACTTGGAGTATGCTGACGATGTCTCATTCATCTGTGACAGGTCACCACCTTGCTATGCATCACTGGCTGTCAGTCTTCGGATTTTTGCTTTAAAGCCTCCAAATGGAAACCTTTTCTCTTGGGTTGGCATGGACCACATCCTGCGCCCTTCCTTGACGGTGATCTAAGTTGTTCGGAAAGTCAAGTACCTGGGCAACACCATCAGCGCCTGTAGTATAGATGAGGTCACGAACCGTATGCCAAAAGCTCGAGGTGCTTTTGCCATTCTTCGCTATTTGTGGCGCAGTTTCGTTCATCTACACTGTGGCCGCTCGTTCAGCCCTACTGTTTGGTTGTGAAACCTGGCCCAGCTTATCGATGGACGTAAAAATGCGGCTTGCGTTCGACCATCGCTGCATTCAGTATTGCTCACATCTAGTTGGAACACCGCGTGAGCAATGTGTGTTCGGCGTCTTGTATTCGGTGCAGGAAGAGCGAATGAACTTCTCAGCATTATTGTTCCACGCACTAGGCTCCGATGGCATGCAAGTACCCCGACTGCCGCGACCTGCGTTGTTCGCGCGCCGGGGGTGTGGATGGAAAAGGAGGGGAGGCCAAGCGATGACTTGTTCAAGGGGAATAAAAGCCTCTGCTTCGAGTTAGCCTCGGATGCAGCCTCTCGACTGTTTAAGCTCACATGGACGATAAACAGAATACATTTAAACGACAGATATCCAACCTCGATGGCGTTTGTGTTGAGTGTCTCTGTTCATCTCTCGCTTAACTTCCCCGTCCAATCGTGATTGCAGTCCTAATGCACTGTAAAAATCTTTGCTTTGTTTTACTTTTATTGGGCTTTTTTGCTTTTTTATTTGCTTTATACCGCCATCTAATTGATTGCATTGTGCCACGATAGCTGGGGATTTTGCCGCTCTGGCTGGCGCGATGCTGCTGATCGCACCCTGCGCGACATGATGTGCTTTTTTCACCCGTAGTCCTCAACGGTCATCTCCATATTTTCGAAAATCATTAAGGTCTTGATCTTTGCGCCACTGGCTTCGAACTCGTCATCTCATGACTAAATAACGCATCACTGTCTCTTGATAGCCTTGGTGGTTTTGGCTTATGTCCACCTCAGTAAATCTCTCCTAGTTGTTAGGCAGCATTGTACACATCCAGCTCTTTTTTTAGTTTCTTCTGATCTGTAAGGCTGTCTATATGTCAAGAAGAGGAAACGCGGATAACTTTTTTATGGTCACTGTTACATGAGCACATACTTTCGTTGCACGATGTACAACTAATTAGCTGAATAATACCTTTCCCCTATTGATGTTGCTTATTTGTTTCTGACAAAGTCTTTTTTGATATAAGAAGATTTACTATTTGTACCGACGGAGTACATTCCGTTTTATCTGAACCATTTGGTGAATCACACCGCAAAGAACAGTTAATTAGTTTCTTCTCAAACCGGTCCATCTGCCATTCGGTTTACATGTTCATGAAGTCGTCTGTTGTATTGTCGTTTCTGAGTCCTCCTTTCTCACCGAAATCCATCGTTTCACAACTTCAATCCGGTGTTGCAGAGTGGCTATGAGTAGCCCGGTTATACTCATTTCTTAAACAGTATCCTTTGCGTCCCGATCGCCTGCAAGCGTGATTGTTGTCCTTACTTACTCAACTCAGGGAGCATGGTATGCGTTGTTGCGATTCCAATTTGCGGTCAAGTCCTATCATACTGTGTCTCTGTGGTTGAGCATGGGACTCTCATTCTAATATGACACCATGACCGAGTTCCTGCACATAGCCTTTTGTTCTGCGCACCCATTATTGTACGATAGACATTTGGAAGATGAAGTGAGTTACAATTTTATTATCTTTTTTGCCCTGGTTTTGTTCATCCATCAAAATTTCGCCTCATTTAACCTGAAATGCTTATTTACGATTTGGCGTGCTACTAATATTTGCAGACTTATTCTTCTCACTTCATTTCATCTCGGTGAAGCCTTAGCCTATGGTACAAAGTGGTGCTCAGGAGGGCTTAGTTTTAATTTCTTTTTACCTGATGGGGATTTTAGGGTTGAGCGAACTCCGAAACTATAAGTGGTTCAGTTTTCATATTGCGATGTACCACCTAGAAGTCTTGCTAGCACCAGCTGTTTAACGTAATTAATGTTATTTGGGATATGCAGGCTTATTATCTTCCCTTTTTAACCTAGACATATTTTTCTTATGCACCGGTAGTGCCTACTCACCGCCACTTTACTACTACTTTTCGGAATTACTTTGCCAGGGTTGGAAGCTGTTTCGTTCATATAGAATCCTTCTGGAACTTTTCCTTTTAATTACTTTCTACTTGGTTTTCGACATTTTTTCCTTCAGTTCATTCTCAGGAGATGGTGCAGAAAACGCTCAGTCTTGCGATATTACGCTGGAATATGAGAATGCTTCCGTTGGGGACACCTCTGACATGTCCTTGTCAGACTATCCTTTGTCAGAACCGGGGAAACCTCTCGGCGTGCTTCCCATGGCGAATGAGACATGGGAACTCTCCGTTTCTAGTTTACTTTGCGATACCCCGAAAAATGTATCAATTCTAGATGTCTCCGATATGATTCAGGATTCTTCACCTCCAACATCTGTCCAAGGGAGCTTTGATTCTCCTGCATCCCGCTCACCATATGCCATTGAACACCAAGGAATATCTCCGCATTTGGCCGAATCTCCTAAACAGCCCATGTCTGAAGGTTCTTCCATCAGTGTTGCTTCTGTCACTCCCACAAACTATCCTGCACTCGATTCGAGTTCAGAACGAAAACTACCAAATCATAGTTGTCTTCCAGACCACCGCGTGAGTTCAAGTCTGCCTCCCTTGCGGCGTCATCAAAGCATGCTAACCGCTGGACTCCTTATCCCAAAATCCGACTATTCGGTAATATCGGACGGGAAATCACACTCCGGTTCACGAGGGACAAAAGGCACGTTCAATACTACCGGTCAGCTATTATCGCAAAGCTTAGCCAATACACCTTTGCGTCAAATCTCACCAACAATTGCAGCGCATAATGATCAGCAAAGCAACCCATTGTCAATTTTCAATAATGGTGGTCGCCGTGATCCAAGCCGTTTCCTACCAAGTGTGGATCGCTTACATAGTCACGTGCTGAGGTTATCCGCCCGTGACCTTAATCTTCAGGTGCGTTCATCGGACACCTTGATTTTTTCGTTCCCCCTCCACTGCTTAGCCACCCAAGACGTTTGCTTGACTTTGCTTCCTCTCTCTATTTTTAACCGAAGCTCCCAGAGATGCTGGTGTTTTACGAGCACGCTGTTATCCGTCTTTTTGATGTTTCATTTCTGTTATCTCATAAGATTTACTGCAAAGATCTTTCCTACTTACCTTTCATGTGACACCTTGATTCTCATGGATCCTCTCTGGCAGAGGATGAGGTACATTAGCAGCGACGAAGTCCATTATGCAATGCAGCTTTTGCGATATGCAAGGCCGAGGAGTTTTTCGACCTAGAATATTTATGTGACCCTAGATCTCACCATCATCATCATTATACACGTTAGCTGCAGGTGAAAAACCTCAGCTATTGTACCGCAATACAAAAGACACGAAGAAAAAATGCAACGGACACGCCGGCTGAGTCCCCTGTAACGGATGGACATGGTTCTGGAGAGCTAACAGCCGGCTATCGTGCTACAAAAAGAGTTATATTATGCCTAACGAATGCGATCGTGATTGAAGGAGAAGGCTAAGCAGGAGGGGGCTGGCTCCTTGCCATATCAGCAAGTGTGTTCAACCAAACTTGTTCGTCGTCCTAAGGACCACAACCAGGCAGTCGGGATGCACCAACCGACGCCACTTTCGAAGCGGGGGTTATCATTTCCCCCGACCAAGTCATCGCTTGGTCTCCCTTCCTCCTCTTCCAACCGTACCCCCGGCGCGGAAACAATGCTTGTAGCGGAAGTCGGTGTGCTGGCGTGCGCAACCCGTGGTTCAGCCATCTGGGTCTGGTGCGTGATATATTGGTGCGGAGAGGTTCACTAATTCTGCCTGCACGGAATAGGCGACACGGATCACACTCATTGCTCACCTGGTGCTCCCACCAGACATGAGCTAAGCTGCGAAGGCAGCGATGATCGAATGTGACGAGCCTCTTTATGTCTGTCGACCTGATGGGCCAGGTTTCACAACCATATAGGAGGGTTGAACGGACGGCTGTGTTATAAACTCTGCCCTTCAGGGCGAGAGTAATGTCGCGTCTGCGCCACAGGTGGCGGAAATTGGCAGAAGCACCTCGAGCTTTTGCTATACGGTTCGTGATCTGATCTTCGATCCCACGGTCGCTAATATAGCTTCCCAGCTACGTGAATTCCCGAACGACTTCCAGCTGATCACCACCGAGGGTCAGCGCATGGGTGGGTATTTGCCAATCTTGGAGAAGAACTTTGCATTTCGATGAAGCAATGCATAGCCCAAAACGATTGACAGCCAGTGCTAATCTGTCCAGTGCTGCTTGGCATGTTTGTGAGCTGTCACAGATTAAAGCAATGTCGTCCGCGTACTCCAAGTCAAGAAGTCGCTCACCAGGAAGTAGCTCCACACCTTTTAGGTCGTGTCCAGCAAACACTGTTTCTATGACTTCATCAATAGCGAAGTTAAAGAGGAAAGGTGACAGCGGACAACCTTGTCTCACACCGCTGGAGATATTGTAAGGTGGCGACAGTTTGCCATAAACCCTCACTCTGCCCGAAATATGCGCGTACAGCGCTTTGCTAATGTTTACATATTTATCGGCACACCTTTCTTCAGCAGATAGTCCCAAAGGGCACATCGATCGACTGAGTCGAAGGCACATTTTATGTCAAGAAACACGACAACGGTGAGTCGCCAATAAACATGGTGGTGCTCCATCAATTGACGCAAGCTGGAGATGTGATGGATGCATCCCTGACGTCGACGAAACCCGGCTTGCTCTTCACGAATCTGGCTTTCACGAGTGCCACTCAGTCGGTGGAGAATGACAGACGCAAGCACTTTAGAGGCAATTGAGATCAGACTGCTCCCTGTATGATTGCCGCATTCCGAATGGGAGCCTCCGTAGAAAATTGGGATAATGACGGAGCTGCTCCAGTTTGTCGGGACAGTCTCCTGTTCCAAACCTTTCGCAACTAACTCGTGTAGATCATCTATTAGAGCAGGTCTCCTGAATTTGAAGAGGACTGGGGGAATTCTATCTGTCCCTGCGACCTTATGTAATTTCAACAGCCCGATCTCATGTCCGACTTCTGTGCGTGAGGGCGGATCCAAGGGGACGACCCAGAGACAAGGGCGCTCAATGCCCGAAAACGAAAGCGCTAACTCAGGTTAGTTAAACTGCCATGCAAAGTGTTCGATCTAACGCTCTAAGCTTGTTGACAGACTGTGGATCGGATACCCACTCGTCGCGTATGGTCTCGCTTACACTAGGTCTGCTGCTGCCTGTTTCCCTTATCAGACGTAATCATATACCATTACCAATGGCAACGGCTGTTTCCTTCTCCAACGCACGATGAGAACATCAGGTTTCACGGTTTTTCTTCAGGCTTGCACGTAGTTTTGCTCTGAGAGTTTTGCGAGTCTCACTGTATTCGCTTCCAGTAGGCATCCGTCGGTGAGCATCCAAAGTTCCAGAGAGTTTGTAAATACCCGAAGTCAAGTTTGGCAATTCGATTTGTCACATGAAGACATGGCTGCTGATAGTAACATTTGACGAATATGCGACCAGTGATGTTCGACTGTGTTCAGTGGGCGGTTACTCAGTCCGGATGTCAGCGCACTTTGATACGCATTCAGAACATCTGGCTTCGTCAGCTGGATGGTGTCAATCCGTTGACATTGCCGTTGCGGACGTCCACTGAAACGCACGCGGAGGTCGACGCAGACAGCTGCGTGGCCAGAGTCCACGCTCGTGCTCCAAATCGAGCGATAGTTTTGGGCACAGCCTCTCCAGCGGTAACTGGTCGCGATACGATCGATTTGTGTCCATGGCTAGCCTAAGGCTTGTGGTCGCCAGGTCACTTCTCTTTGGGTGCTTTGTCGAAGGTTAGCGAACGCAAGAAAGAGACGAGCATCTTCACACAGCTGTAGGAATCGCTCACCGTTATCGTTACGGGAGCTTACACCATTTTGGCCGCCCAGATGAAGCTCATCAGAGAACAGTTTTCTGACCTGGACGTTTAGCTCGCCAGCCAACACCACAGTATCCGTGCTTTTTATGTAACAAAGGAGATCGTGTAGTTGCTGATAAAAGTCATCCTTCACCGAATCAGTGCTATAGCTTGTAGGGACGTAGGCCACAATGACAAACTGGCACCGTTTGTCCCCGCGCGACTTCGTAGCATGGAACTAACCAGCTACACTGACGGCGCACATTCAACTGTTAACTTGGATCCAATCAATCAGAGCAGCTTCAGCCCGGGGACTCAAAACAATGGCAATGCCAGCTTGACCGACATTTGAAGCTGCGTCATCTCTAATCAGACGCAATGAGAATGTGTCGCGTGTGGAGGATCGCAGAGTATTCACGGCGCGTTTCTGATGAACGGCAAATATCGATCGATAGGGTCTCTAGTGTGCGGGCAAGTACTGCCTGTTGGCGAATCTGTAATAAAGTGCGCACGTTGTATCGTACAGGTTTTAGTGAGACGTGAGGACTCCAGTGGGAAACAGATGAACTGATTTGCGCTTGGTTGAATATGCATTTGTCGACTGGATTGGAGCGATGCCCTGCGACTGTGTGTGAGTTGAAACTAGAAGACAAGGGGCTATTGAAGCAAGGTGGGGGAGGGCCAAGAGTTGGGGGCTTGAAAATGGGGGATAATAGTAAAGTTGGAGCGGGACGATAAGGATGAAGAAGCGCAAAAAGGGGATAAGAAGACGGGAAGACCTGAACGGTGGCATCCAAACTCCTATCCACCCTGCTCGATGCAGCAGATAGGGCGCCGTTTAATATCCTCTATGGCGGCCGGAGCATCAAGAAACTGTTAGAAGAAGGCAGAATACTGTCAGGTTGCCCCGGTCTAGACAGGAGAATGATTAGGGTTCTCAACCAAAGCCTTTGGTTCAAAAACCTTGCCGCTAGGCAGTGGGTTTTGGCACTGGACTTCAGTGTCCGTTTTATGCCGTAAGGAGCCACCCTTACTCCAACCCCCAATTTGAAGGGCCAGGAGAGTGAATTTGTGTGGCCTCTGACCATTGACTCAATCTGGTATGAGTGTCTCTGAAGGTGCAATAAAAAGCACTATCCAGCATAAGTCACTGGATCACTGAAGCACACAAACCACCACACCACGTTAAAGTTCAGTCTCGTCACATCATAGATCAACCTTTTGCGCTCTTAGTTGCATGCTTGCATGTCGCCGTTGTTCTTTTATCTTTATATGCGTTCAGTGACGAATCGTCACTATCATTAGAGGAAACTGCCGGCTCGTAACCTTAGGGATCACAAGCCTGCTATGTAATCCAAGGATCCGGGTTCGATCCTGCTTAGGGTCTGGATGACTCTCGCAGTGTCCTTATCCCGCGTGCTACCGGCGGTTTTTGCGCGGTAGCGAAACTTTGGGACTGCGTACCGGCGTACTGCTGATGCCTTTCTATGCACGTCATTTGCAGGTCTCTTCGGTTCATTTCTTTTTGCTAACTATGTAGGCGCTTTTTTCGTGCCAATTTGAGTCCCAATACGCTTCCAACCTATTTCAGGGCGCGCTACCAGCTTTCATTACCGTGTGCGGTTACCTCAATGGTTGTTGTAACTTATGCTTCCAGTTTTCTGAATTGCATGTTCCTAATCTCTTTTCCTTGTCTTGTTTTTCTTTGCCTTGATGGGCCGTACTCTTCGATTCAGCCGATTAGCCCAGTCGTTCCATATCCGTACACTAGGGCTACCCATTCGCTCTCATATCAACATTTCTGATCATCCTTTATTTCATTATTTCGGAACAGCTTCCAAGCTTCGGTGTAGCACCATCTTCATTGAGAGACTTCCTGGATCGTCATCCATGCGACCCTGCCGTCCCATCACAGTGCTCTCTGTTTCCGAATAACCTTAATGATCTGAAACATCTTCAAGTAAGTAGTGTCTTGACAGCTGGTTTACCACGGCGTGCGTTCCATATTTTTTGCAGTTTTAGGCTTATGTTTTTCTAGGTTGATTGCTTTTTCTCCCCTGTACATTTTTGATATAAATCTTGGTTGAATGGAACAAAGCTTTCAATATTGTCCTGAGTGGGTGGCTTAGCATCAATCCGCCTCTTTTAAATACTTGTCAATGATATCTGTAAGCAATTACGACACCTTCATACCGCTCCATAGTGCTCGCTCACATAAAACTGATTCGATTACGTCTAATCTTTTCACTGTTGTGAGGACCTCATCACTAGTGGACACTATAGTTAGTTAGTTAGTTAGTTAGCGTTTATTAAGTAAAGTCAACGCAGAAAAATTACAGCTTGTTTAGCACACAGAGCTCCTCGATATATGTTGTCCGTGCAATTCCATAAACAACGGCCTTTTTGGGTTGATGAGGTTTTTTCTTTGGTTCAGTCAAATAAATTATGTGCAACTCCCCATAGTGCACACGAACATCGAACCCGTTCTGCCCATTTCCCATTTGCCTAGTTCGCTCCTTTGATTTATCTGTTCACTCTGATATGCCTTCTAGCCCCTATACATCATCAATATTATGATTGTTTTTGATTTCTCTTATCTTCTCGTTCACTTTTTCTACGTACCTTGCAACCTGTCGCGCATTTTACCCACCCACATTCACAGCCTCATCTATACGAAGAATTTCTCGAACTTCGAAGTGCTGTGGAACGATCTTGCACTGAGAGAATTTCGCAATACACGGAAATGTGAGCAGTTTTTAAATATTTTTCTGCACCTTTTGCGCTTGGTCCCCATTTCGCTTTTTAACGCAAGGAAATGCCCAACTGTTTTGTGTGAACATTTCAATTTGTCTCTCAGTCACAACCGCAGTGCGTACAAGCACTATACGTAATCGTGTTCGTGGGATATCAACTAACATGTGTATGCATGCGTCGGATCAGTGCACCGTACATAATCAGGCATGAGGCATCCTAACGGATTGTCTCACTTTCTCCGAGCGTACAACACTGAACGAGTCATTTATACCGTTAACGCCTCACCAATCGCTAACAGTTTCGGATTCATGTCGCGCGATAGCAGTTTAAATTGTTTGACCGAGTTCCCATGCTGACTAATCGTCATGAGGAGGTTGATGACGAATGAGACGGAGTTGCAGTTCATTCATTATTCCATTTTACCTTGTTGCGGGAGTGACTGCTTTAGTCACTTTGGGTGGCACTCAATGGCTCTCAGCTCCCACCTAGCGGGCTACGCTCACATACGTGGAGGATATACGATGCGGCAGGGATAAGTCACAGCGCTGCGATCATGTTATTGGGTGTTAGAGCAGACTTCAGCTTGCACCCAATATTGTTTACAGCATGATCTCATTCGAATGGCACGGATCAATAAGCACACTTTTTCTTTGGCTTTTGTGCTGCTAGCTTCTTTTTAGGGATCCATCATTTATCTAGATAAAATCTACTTATCCATTATGCAGTAGGTGCTTATGTAAAAGTTCCTCTCCAACCCCCGATATCGAACTACCACAAATCTGCCAACCCCGTTGGAGTAACTATCCCTGGAATCTACCCATGGAGACACCGTCCATCTTTTTGTAAGCCTTCCTTTATGACTCCAATCGTACCTTCTCTCTTCACATTAGGCTTACGTCTTTTAGACACCCTGAGGCACATTCGTAAACTACGAGCTCGCCTCCGTCGAGCGCGTAAGCTCCGCATCCAGAGATATTGGTTCCAGCCCATCCATCATATCAAAACTGTGTTAAACATTGCCGGATCTGCAATGCGGCTTTCAAGGGTTTCGCTAGCCACCGATCAACCTTACGGTTGGATGAATTTTTATTTACCCAATCAGACTTAATGAATTCCTTTTCTCGTGCTCTCTCAGCGCGCCTGTCATTTTTGTGTCTTCTTTCCCGTCTGTTTAGGTTCCCGAGGTTGTGACTCGGAGGTCGATACATGATATAAATGGATCTGGAGTTATTTACTGTTATGGTCTTAGTTTTCATCTTTCGAGCTAACTGTCATCAATACGGTAGGAGACAAGGCATAGAATAGTTGATGGAAGATGCATCTCAAATTTAAAATTGACTGAAAGCTCAATGTTTAAGCACTAGTCACGAAATCGCCTTGACGCCATTCTGCCAGTGGCTGTCACAATCAAGGTAAATGAATTTCAGGTAGCTAAATGGGGACTGCGTACAGGACCCGCGCTTGTTCTCTTTGACTAATGGTGTTTGCTTGCGGTAAATCGGTCTACCATTTCTAGGTGCCATTGAACGCAACCCATTCCGAGCGAATTGAGCTCATCCACGTGGAATCACGACTGGCTTCGTCTCATGGTTGCGTATGACAAACCACGCTGTGGCTCAACCGTCTACAGTTGTTCACTCATCCGCTTCGCTTAATGGCATCAAGTTAACAAAATAACTGTCGCTTCATCTCACCTCCCAGATCTGAGACCACACGACACACACTGCCTGATCAGAGACATCACACGATATTGTGTTATTGGGCTAAATTGCCCTTTTAGAATTTGTGTCACATTCATTTATCTGTTCATGTGTACTCTTGTCATGAAACGTTGATGGAAAACACGTAAAATCTGTCGTGGATGCCATAGCATCTTCATACTTAACTAACCGTTTTTGACAGTGTGTGTTCGTAATGTGCTGTAGGCGCCTCACCCTCAACCGTTTGCTCAACGTCGTTACTTTTAGCTTGGCCTACCTTTCATGGCCTCTTTTTTCTTATTACGGTTGTTTCTTTTGTTTTATAGTTAAATGGTTACCAAGCACGGACACATTATTGGTATCGGGCTCTTGATTTGACCTGGGTGTCTAGCCATTTCTTATCTCAAACTTGCGGCGACGCAGCGTATTATAATCTTCAGCTGTAATGTTCATATAAGTTAGTTTACGGTCTACTCTTAGTGTTTAGATAGATAGCTTTTTAGTCTTGTCCGTTCGACAGTCGTTTTCCGACTGCAGACTTCTGCGACCATATACGTGAAAATTGATTGCATGCTTCTGGGCTTCTCGGTTGTTCAATCTCAATGTTGTCTATACTACCCAATCTCTTTCTTTAACTTGTTTTTTCCTCCCCCTCTGTGCCTTCCCTTATCTATCTGTTCATGCGTCTCCGTTGAGCGCGACAGGGCTCATTGTCGTCGGTCTGGTGTGCTGCTTGACCACTCAAAATCCCTCCCAGTTGTAAAGCAGCTGCGTAACATGAGTAGCGATGAAGTGAGTGAAGTGAACCGAATGTTTGATCTTTTCTGTATGCTACACTTTCGGATTTTTTCTATCCCATCACATGCAGCTCGATCCGATGAAAACCTTTGCCCACTGTGTTTTCCTAACCATTGGCCTAACCACTGAGTTCATCAGGCGTTAGCCAAATTGTGTCCCGCTATTCCTTTCGATAAAGTCGAGCGTGCTCATTTGCTTTAGCTATCTTTTGGAACAGTTAGAATCTGGGCCTTTGCATGGCAGTTAGGACATTTACTAAAAAGATTTCATCCGTTTTATCCCCGTTATTTCTTATTCATGTTTTCCGGTTCTAACTAATTTAATGGTCCAGTATTGTTCCGCTAATCACCAGTCGTTTTGAAGCCGATTACTAGCGTTACTCTGATTGTTCGGCCCCAGCAAATTGCTTTCATCGGCACGCATAAACCATCAGCACTTTGTAGCGATGTCTCACGGCTAGACAATCATAATGACCATACTAGCGTGGACTATCCCGTATTCTGCTGAGGTTTTAAGTTTTCTTGATTATTACATATGTAATAGTTGTGAAAATACACTCACAAGTGGTTTGGTTTTTGAAAACTTGTGTTTCTTTAAAGAAGCCAACCGGAAATGATTCCGTGGTATGGGAATCTAGAAAAACACAAAAAACCACATTTTCTACGCCATTGCACAAATTTTTCCGATTTGTACTGATAGTGCTTAATAGTTCTTTCAAATAGTAATATATCGGACATCTACTCACTTTAAAATTATACACAAGCAACATATACAGAGAAAATTGGGTTCATTATTAATGCGAGGTGTGCCACAGAGCAGCCTCTGTGTGGTGGCACATCACCCCTTGGACAGAGTAGATGAGCTTTCTTTCCACTGTGAACGGCGTCTTTATCGCCTTGGTATTGATTCCAAGTGTCCAGAGCAAAATTTTCTAATTTTGTCTTTCACTTTTTGTCATTTGCTGCTGAGTGGACATTAATCTCCGCTTGATACATCTGAAAGTAGACTTTCACGACAGCTCGATTGAGGGAACGCATGCTGAACTACCATTGGACACTGATGACGCCAATCCATGTACATATGTATACCGAATGAATTCGACGAGGATACTCATACTGCTTTTGTACGACCGACTTAGTGCAGAGATGCGACACTGGGATAAGCGGAAAATAACAGGACAAGAATAAGGTTATTTTGTGACAAACTATTGTTGATTTCAGGTGTTGCGAATCCAAGGCAAAGTTGATCGATGCGAATTCCATGGACTTATCTGAAGGGCGGTTGTCCAGGTGCAGGAAAAGACACTATTGCACGCGGAATAGAAGCACGATGCGTACGCTCCCATTCGATTTACTAATCCAGGCCAATAAGGCGACGTATGTGGTACGTTTATCTGCTTGATGAGTAGTCTTGCATCTCAGAAGTATATGTTGTTTGAGCTCCCCGGTGTGGCTACGCTTGATGTGAATGTTGACAAGTTACTTACCTCTCTGATACCCTCCACCTCGATTGTTGGCTCCAGGCGACAGTTGGTCGTTGCTGGAGAGGACGGGGTGCACCGTCCTCGTGACAATGCTAGGTTCAAAGAGTGGTTCCATCCTGTGTGGAACGGGCTACGGGCCATCCACTGCCTTGTGTCCGTCTGGTGTGCATGATTTCCCAATTAGGTCCGAATGCTGCTGTTCTGCTTGTTGAAGCAGTGTGGGCCGGCTCCGTTGATGACATCTGGCTCCCATCCACATGCCTCCCTCTCTTATTCCTTCGGGTTTCCATCGGATATGTGGTGTGTGGGTGCTGCAGTGCAAGCCACCCATGGTCCCTCTGTAGGCGCACGCGTCCTGTGGCTGTAGCCACAGTGACGGGCAAATCCGGATACGGATGCCGCCAATCCATGCTGCGCTTACTCATATGCAGGTGCTTTTCTTTCCGAAAGCCAAACGTTGTTCATTGCGGCATCGGGAATAAAAACGACAGGCGTCCACCGCCACCTGCCGTGAAAATTGATTCTATATTGAGCAAAGGTTTAGTTCAATCGATCCATTGCTCTCGTCGAAGTGTTGCACTTACTAACGATGCCATGTCCATTAAGTGTGTGCTTTTTGTCCGTAGCCGATCACTTTTCTACTTTTGTAAGAGAATATACACCGACAGGGTTGCTGGCAAGAGTCAACGGAATTTTCATTCCAAGACAGTACAAACACCTCATCCAGTCTGTTATACCTGTAGGCATAAGCATCCCTGTTTAGTTTTTCTAGGGCCTGCAGATCATTAGGGCACTTATCTGTCCTGTTCGCTACGACTGTACCTGTTGCTCGTATGCTTTGATATCTTAATACTTTTAAGATTGATAACCCCGTAAAAAGTTGCCAACAAAACGATATGGCCACACCTTCGGGAGCTTGTACACTAGGCCCATGACAATGCATTATCCCAAACCTGATGTGTTGTCATATTTAGTTTCAGCTAGTTGGTTAGTCACTCAATCAATACACGTTAATTGTGAGTGAAACACACCTCCGCTAATCAACCGCAATAAAAAAGATAAGACACTCAAGGAATTACACTATAGAAGGTTCCAATCAAGTGCTATCCTGTAAAATACTATACAATGTGATTCGAATGAGCTTCGAATTGGAGGGGAATCTAAAGGAGAGGGGAATGGACAAATAGGTTCACAGCACAAACGCCATTGGGGCCTCTCTTCTCCATATCAGCAAGTGTGTCCAACCAAACGTGTTCATCGTCCTCAGGATCTCAGCCAGGCAGTCGGGATGCACCAACCGACACCAACTTCGAAGTAGAGTTTCCATTTCTCTCGACCAAGTCATCGCTTGGTTTCCCTTCCTCCTCTTCCAACCGTACCCCCGGCGCGGAAACAATGCTTGTAGCGGGAGTCGGTGTGCTGGCATGCGCATCACATGGCTCAGCCATCGGAGCCTGATGCGTGATATAATGGTGCTGAGAGGTTCACTACTTCTGCCTGAACGAAATAGGCGACACCGATCACGCTCATTACTCACGCGGTGCTCCCACCAGACATGAGCTAAGTTGTGAAGGCAGCGATGGTCGAACGTAACTAGCTTCTTTATGTTTGTCGATCTGATGGGTCAGGATTCACAATCGTACAGAAGGGTTGAACGGACGGCTGCATTGTAAACTGTGCCCTCCAGGACGAGAGGGATGTCACGTCTGCGCCACAGGTGGTGGAGATTTGAAAAAGCACCCCGTGGTATATGGTTCGTGATCTCATCTTCGATCCAACTGGCGCTAATATAGCTTCCCAGCTACGTGAATTCCCGAACGACTTCCAGCTGATCACCACCGAGGGTCAGCGCACGGGTGGGTATTTGCCAATCTTGGAGAAGAACTTTGCATTTCGATGAAGCAATGCATAACCCAAAACGATTGACAGCCAGTGCTAATCGGTCCGGGGTGCTTGGTAAATCTGGGAGCTATCACAGATGAGGGCAATATCGTCCGCGTACTCCAAGTTAAGAAGTCGCTCACCAGGAACTAGCTCCACACCTTTTAGGTAGTGTCCAGCAAACGCTCTTTCCATAACTTCATCAATAGCGAAGTTAACTAGAAAAGGTGACAGCGGGCAGCCTTGTCTCATATCACTGGAGATATTAAAGGCGGCGACAGTTTGCCATAAACCCTCACGCTTCCCGAACTATGTGCATACAGCGCTTTGATAATGTTTACATAACTGGCACACCTTTCTTCAGCAGATAGTCCCAAAGGGCACATCGATCGACTGAGTCGAAGGCACATTTTATGTCAAGAAACACGACAACGGTGAGTCGCCAATAAACATGGTGGTGCTCCATCAATTGACGCAAGCTGGAGATGTGATGGATGCATCCCTGACGTCGACGAAACCCGGCTTGCTCTTCACGAATCTGGCTTTCACGAGTGCCACTCAGTCGGTGGAGAATGACAGACGCAAGCACTTTAGAGGCAATTGAGATCAGACTGCTCCCTGTATGATTGCCGCATTCCGAACGGGAGCCTCTTTTGAAATTTGGGACAATGACGGAGTGGCTCCAGGTTGTCGGGACAGTTTCCTGTTCCCAAAGTTTCGCAAGCATTTGTGTAAATCATCTATTAGAGCAGGTCTCCTGAATTTGAAGAGGACTGGGGGAATTCTATCTATCCCTGCGACCTTAGGCAATTTCAACAGCCTAATCTCACGTTCGACTTCTGTGCATGAAGGCGGATCTAAGGAGACGGTCCATGGGGAAAGACACTCAATGCCCGGAAAAGAAAGCTGTAACTCAGATTGGTTTAACTGCCTTGCAAAATGTTCGGTCTAACGCTCTAAGCGTTTTGACAGGCTGTGGATCGGCTGCCCACTCTCGTCGCATATGGTCTCGCTTACACTAGGTTTGCTGCTGCCTGTTTCCGTTATCAGACGTAATAACTTACGATGATTACCGATGGCAGCGGCTGCTTCCATTTCCGATGCACGATGTGAGAACCGGGCTTCGCCTTCTCCGTTCAGACTAGCACGCATTTTACCCTGTATTTTTGTGAGTCTCATTGTATTTGCTTCCAGCTGGAATACGTCGGCGAGCATCTAGCGTGACTTTGTTGTGACCCAGTGTCTAGGTTGTCAATTTGATTTTCATCATGAGACATTCCTGCTGATAGTAACATTTGACGAATATGCGACCAGTGATCTTTGACTGTGTTCAGTGGGCGGTTACTCTGCCCGGATGTTAACGTACTTTGATACACATTCAGAATACCTGGCTTCGCAGGTTAGCTGGTGTCTATGCGCTCAGAGCGATGTTGCCGAAACGCACTCGAAGGTCGGCACACACAAAATCGTGATCTGAGTTTACGCTGATGCTCAAAATCGAGCGACAATTTTGGGCACAGCCTCTCCAGCGGTAACTGGTCGCGATATGATTTGCGTCCTTGGCTAGTCCGATGCTGTTGGGCTTCAAGTCACTGTTCTTTGGGTGTTATCTCGAAAGTTATTGCACGCG